TGGCACAGCACTGTGGGGACAGGCAGCAGGAGGCTGCCACTGCCTTGTGGCAGTGGGTTCTTGTTTGTAGGAGATGAGTATGTAATCTTAGAAATAACTCTGGGACATCTGCTTTCAGTCGGCTCTAAGTTTTGCAGCTCTTCAGATCCAGAGCCTTATTCTGGAGAAGCCTGCCAAACAGCATCTCATGCTGGCCTACTTTCCTTCTCTCCAAAGAATTAGGGATTAGCTGGTGYTCTTCTCTTCTTTATTAACAGTTTAAGGGCTGGATGACTTTTGAAGTAAACTAAACAAAAGTTGAGAATAAATTATTTTTCTGGCATTTGCTGTTAAATATTTTTATTGAAGCTTAAGAAGTAAAAAAGAATTATGAGTTARTAACGATATCTGGAAATTACACTAGCACGGAGACATAAAGGGCATCATCTGTCCTGCTAAATTGCTCTCACTTGGTTTGTCAAATATCCAGCTTCCTTAGCAGTACAATTGCCCAGTTGGCTTTGTGGAGTACAAGAGCTTTCTACATTCCTTGCAAGTATCTGGCATTGCTACTGGGACAGATAGGTCTGTGTTCCTTAGACTGTGGACAAGGAAAACAATTTGTCTGGGTTTCTTCAGCCCTCTACTGTCTTGAAAAATCACGTCTGTGAACATAAGCATGSCAATATTGTTTCTTATTTGTGGTTCTTTCAAGTGAAAAATGGACATTAGCATAAGTACTCCAACCAGTGAAGCTCTGTGTCCTTGCATAAAACTGAACAAAGTTTAAAGCTGTATGTATGTGGCGGTTCCTGCAGTCTTGGAAGAGCATCCACTGATTTACTTGGTGGCATAATGTACTTTCCTCTTGTTTCCTTGTCCCTATGAAGATAATTAACTAAGTGTTATATGGAAAAAAAAATAAGGCCTGGATGTTTGGAACAGTACATTGGTAATTCTGATCTTTGCTCTTTAGACACCTCGTTCATCCATAAATTTTCATGTTRAAAAAATAAGCACTTTTGAAATCTGTATTTAAAAAAAATGCTTCTACCAGTAAATCAATCTTGAAAAATAATTATATTCTTGAAGCAAGGCCTGCATTGCACTACATAGACTGTAACATTGATTTCAAATGGAAAAAAAGTCATACTGATGAATTGTGCCTTGATATCTACAAATGTGGTTTGTCCAGCTGATGTTTTGTAYAACTGTTAAGGTGAAAGTCTTTCTGTTCCACTCTGTCTACTCTAACCACTCAAAACCAGACTTTTGACAGATCTTTAATATCAGTTGCTGGTAATTTCTGCCACAGCATGACTGTCTTGAGTGATCTGCTTTGCTAGTAACATAAATACTTCTTCCCTTCAGACTAATTATGCATGTCATCATTTGTACATCATTTGTATTATGAACTGTGTATATTTGATATGGTGCAATGCTGCTAATGTTGATATTCAGTGCTGCTATTTTCATAATTAGCAACAAATTATTTCATTTAATTATTTAAAAAACCCCAACAAACCAAACCAAGCAACAGCTTCTGTAACCTAAAAGCTGGCAAAAGAGATCTGCAGTTCTTTTCCTAGGTTAGCCTGGTCTCTGTTATGTCTTACTTTTCATCTTCCATTTATCAGAGTGCTAAAACACGGCTGGTTCATCACACTGATGTTCAATATTTCTTGAATGGGACAGGTCCTGCAGTAGTGAGATTGGTTCCTAGTCTGTTATGTTTCTGTTACTTCTGTAGTGTCCAGTTTCATTCCATACACTATTATTTCATTCTGTTTCCCAAGATCATTTCTTTAGTGCACAAATAGATTAATAGTGCCAAACTAGCCATTGATTGTTTCTTAGCTGAGTTAGTTCCCACACATCATCAGTCTGTCAGCATTACTCACTGTTTTTCTTCCCTGCTCCCCATCCTCCTAAATTCTGTTAACTTTTGGGTTTCACTGTGATACCTCCCAGTGACTACCTACTGATTTTATCTCTCTGTTGTACTTGTGAAGAGGCATGAAGCTTCAAAGTGTTGGGGTGATTTGTGTTTTTGTTGTTGTTGACGTTTGTGGTTGTTGTTTGTGTGTGTGTGTGTGTGTGTGTGTGTGGTTGGTTTTTGTTTTGTTTTAGTATTGCTTTCAGTAAATGTTGTTTTTATCAAGTCCTGAATTGGGACTTAATTTAGTTGACACAGTCTGGGACAAGTGTACCTATTCCACACATTCTGCTTGATAACACTAATGGCAAAGATTATTTCTTAGACAATAGGGAATTTCTGACTTTTATGCAAAAAGGTTTATCAGTATTTTAAAATCACTTAATGGTCATCGAGGTCATGCTTCTCCTTTCCATATCCAGAAATTAAAAAATTATCAAGTCCTTTGTCAATCAATTTAGTTCTCATAAGTCAGGCTTTGATGCCCACACAAACATGTGGTTATGCATGGATCTAGAGTTTGGAGCAGAGTATGACTGTGATGGAGGAGGAAGAAGAGAAGGTGCTTATACTAAAGCCTTTTCTGCCAGTAGTTGCCATATACTGCCTGTGAATCTCGAGATATGCTTTAGGAGAACAAAATGACAGCTGACACATGATGTGCATGAAATCGATCTCCTCTTGATTTCTTWGGACCTGTCTGCCACATGGCAATGAAATTACTTGAAACAACACAGGGACTTGAAAAAACCAACAGGCAGGTAGGACTGAGATTAGATTAGTTTGTTGTGCTGAAATCTCCCTCTGTGAGCAAGCAGCGGAGAAGATGAGGAGGATTTCAGCCTCAGGAAAAGTAATTTAATTGCTGATTACCACCAATTACTTTCCCAAATTCCTTTCCTCAGCTACTGGGATAGTTGTATTTATCAGCCAGCAGTCCAGGGAGATTGCTGTGTAGAAGTTGGCTGGAACTCTCAAGCCCTGTATCTGAGTGGTTCTATGGGTATTGTAAATATCACGGATGAAATGCAGGACTCCTTCATGCCAATATAAGTTTTGTTAATGACTTGCCAAGGTCAGGGTTCTCCTTATACTTACATATGAGTTGGACCTTCTTTTGGTGGTACTCTGAGGGTGGGAAAGAATTCAATTGTTTATTTAAAGTGGTGCTGAATGGATCTCAAACTGATCTAGTGCTGCATCTGGATTCACTTCCACGAGAAACAATGTGGAACAAAACTCCTGGGTTGTTTTTTTTTTTTTTTTTTTTATTTTTTTTATTTTTTTTTTTTTTTTTTTTTTTTTTTTTTTTTTTTTTTTTTTTTTTTTTTTTTTTTTTTTTTTTTAATTGAAATCAGAAGTCTTGAAAGCCCTCCTGTTTTTCTGATTCGTAGGAGGGAAGGGCTGGCAACTGCATGCTTTCTCAATTGAAGCAAGTTATCAGATTTTGAATATGCTACAATGTATCAGGACTGCTCTGGGTAATAATGCAGTCATTATCAAAGGTATGCTGCAAGGTATCATGGACTGACATTTTCAAATCACCATGGTAAATCTGCCTGACACAGCTTTAAAAGAAATAAAACAAGACTGAAAGCTCCAGTGTTTAGTCTAAAAACACACATGGCCGTGGTTGCTGTTTTAGCCTATGTGGGCTAACCGTGGAAGCCTTTTGTTGGCCCTCCAGCCTACGGATTGGTGTCAGCTTGATTTGTGTGTTAATTTGCTGACTTTTTGATTTGATGCTTTCCGTTAAAATTCATATAAAGAGCCTATGTGTTTTTGCTTTAYTTAGTAGCATTCCGAAATCTAAATGCTCTTCCAAAGTCTGCCCTTGGTATCACTGAAACTTGAGAGGAAGAGCTTTCAACATTTATTTGCTGTTGGAATAGTTTATTCACCATTTGTATGATACTGAAAGGATAAAGGCAGATGGGGAGCCTTGTTAAGTGATCATATAACCAAACACAGAGAAGAAACACAGTGCCAGTGTTACAAGCTTTTTCCTTTATGGAAAAATTCTGACTAAAATGATCAATGTGGTAAGCTATGAACCACTTAGTATCAGGACTCCCTCATTTCCTCCTGGCACCAAAGATTGTCCTATTTAAGTTAAAGGATTCTACTCACTCTGTCTCTTATATCCCAGCTCTTTAGATCTGGTTTTCTTGAGGAAGATGACTTGTTACTGGCAGAGGCTTCCAGGAACCAGCCCTTGACTGGGTCTCAATCCAAACTTGCAACTGGGATGGTGTTTTGACACCATTTTTGCCTTTCTGTTGATGGCATGTTTAATTGCCTGTGATGATTTCCTTGGGGTGGATGAGCTGCCTTCCTTTCTGAAAGAGATGCCTTCTAAAATATAAATTGATTGAGCAGTTCAGCTGGCGTTTCAAGGTCGGATGAAACAGCAGCTAATCCTCTAGTGTTTGTCTGGCCCAAACTGTGCCACTCATGCTCTTCTAATAAGGAAAGATGTGCAGGCCCATGTGTGGGAGCTGTGTTTATTTTCAAATAGGCGGTGAAATCACGCTGTGGTTACTGCATGTTGGAAACTGAAGAGTTACACCTCTGAAGCGTCCCTTCCAAGAACAGCTCCAGAAATCAGTTCCTTGCATCACTAACATTACAYCTATTTTTTGAGTCAAGACTAATCAAAAATGTACTATCAGGAAGTAGTGAGAAGGTTTGAGTTTGCTGTAAGGTCAAAGGTTCACAAATTAGCATTGGACTTCTAGTAAAAGTAGAAAGATAGTTTAGAAGTAGTCATCAAGTATTATTTCCCTAGTTTAACTTAATGTCCCTCTATGTCTGAAAACAAAAAATTGTATTACCCTTTATGTCACCATCTGTTGTGCATTGTTAAAAATCTGCTATGTTACATACCTCAAGGCACAACTCATAGATGATGTCTTTGTTCTGACCTGTTGCTGCAGCTGAAGCTCCCAGTGATTGCAGTGAAGTTGCACTTAGGCATGTAGTGGAGAGGCCTCTAAAGTGCTATATAACCCTTTCACTGTAATTTAGAAAATTTAGTTTTGCATTTGTTACCACTGAATGCTGTGTCCTGTTTTCCTTTCCGCAGGCAGAGTTACCCCAGAACAGCTCAGCTCATACATTCAGCTTTTCAGAAACAATCTCAAAGCTTTGGAGAACCACTGTGGTCTTCTACAGCTTGTGCTGGCCACGGTCCAGACTTTGAAACATGCCCAGACTTCCAAATGGGACAATTTCCTGGCTTTTGAGAGATTACTTCTACAGGTACACATTATGTTTAATTCTTTGACTTTCCATTACAATCTGTAAGGTTGTATTTTTTATTAAGAAATGTGTTGGGWCGTCTTGCTAAAGAGCTCTTCCTTATTACCAAATGGGTAAAAGAAATGGGAACCTACATTTTTAATCTTTTATAGCTTTGTCTAAGAAATTTTATAAACAACAGAGTAGGCATTCAAGGTGAAGCATAGAAGTAATCTGAATTGGGTGACAGTGTTACATCTATATGAAGTTTCAAGATTATATAACTTTAAACATTGGATATGATTATTTATTATTATTATTATTACTATTATTATTACTATTATTATTACTATTATTATTACTATTATTATTTTCTTCTTGAGGCAAGGTGCTGAATCAAGTGCAGAGATAAGTAGTTACTATGTAAGTGTAAAACTTGCTGAGTGGATGAAAAGCATAGTTGGAAATTCCATGTACCAAGAGAGTAAGGTTTCTCTTGTTTACAACTGTCATCTACCCTCAGTTTTTCCCACCACCACATTTTTTATGGCATCCTGTTTATGACCACAGTATTATTTACATACCATTTTGTATCACAATTGGATTTCTCTCAGGAAATTAGGAGTTGGTAGTATATTGAACTCTATCCTACTAACCTTTGGAGATCTATCAAACAAAGGAGGAGTTTTTYCTAAGAACCTAGTAGAGTTAATTTCTGCTGAAGTTCACAGAAAGCTCAAAACTTTTCTTCCTGTGCTGTTTCTTTGCCATTTTACTGTTTTTAGAGAAATCATCTTCTGAAGCTCTAGCAAGAAGCATATCTTCATTACCAAACTCCTAATGAAGTTAGAGTTAGCCTTAAATGAGTGAAATATACAGTGTGATTCTCTGTGAAAACCAGGTACTTCTGTAAAAAACAGCTGTCTTTGTCTAGCTGACCAAAATAACCAACTAATTTGACTCTCCCCATGACCTCTGGCAGCAGGGTACAAACCCTGGTCCCTTTTTCCTATGGGCAAAATATGCCCATACTTCATAGCTTTGTAGTCAATGAATTTCTGCCAGGTTTGGGGAGCAAAAAATGCAAAACATAGATGGCAGCTCTTTTCTACAAGGGTTTTAAAAGCTCTTCTCTCTTGGTAAAACTGAAACATTTTTGAATACCATTGGCAACTTWCTTTCTCTGTTTAAAAAACAAACACACCTCAGGTTGAAGAACTCATTGCCATTCTGTAGTTTTTCTGGACTGTAGAAAATGGGACTGACAGACCATAGCCCCCTTCTCTGTCCCACAGTGAGTAATGTCACATAGCTCTTCTCAGAGGCTGCCTAAGTTCCAACTTAAAACGAGTTCAGCTTTAGAATCAAAATAAAGCTGCAAGATCAGCATTATTTTCACAACAGCAGACAGCTGCTTGTAAATCAGCAGGGAGTGGGGAAACAGAGGTAAGGAACAAGTAAATTATATATTTCACAAAAAAGAAATGTTTAACAAGCACTCTCATAGTGGTAGGTGGCTTTGGATTATACCCTCTGCCTTCCACCCATCAAATTAAGGTCAACTGTGTTAGCCARAGCAAACTTTCTAGGCTAACATTTGTATCTGTTCTGTAAGTGCATACTTATTTTCAGTAGTTCAAGCAACAACTATTTTGAATTACATAGACTCTATTTTGAAGACACAATCTGAAATGCATTATCTGCTTCTGAGCACATGGTCTGTCTTTGAGCTGTTGACAGAGGTTTATAGGGAGAGCGAAGTGTTGAGACCCAGAAGACAGTAGAGATGTTGTTATTTAAAAAAATCAATTAAGGCATTACATTGTGAATGGTTGGTACATAGTACAGTACACTAAATTTGATGCTGTGGTAGTTTATTTCAGCAGTACTACTGAGGAATTCTTTRGCATATTTGTTATGTTTCTTATAGTTTAAAATAATAAATCTTGAAGACTCAAATAAAAAGTACTTGTTTCAACATGAAAGTAGTATTGTTTCTATTGTATATTGGAACAGCATAGAAGGCAACTGTTTGTGAAAGATCCACTGGGACTAATATTATTAGACTCTGACAACGTAAGAATTCTAGATTTTTTGCTGATGGATGCATGTCAGATTCCAACTGATGCTAAAGGAGATAACCCAATAAAAACAACTGGTGTTAGAATCTGAGCTTTCCCAAAAAAATAAACCTGCACMGTGTTTGAATTTCTGTCATTACTGGGTCTCTGATGGGTCTCATGATTCTCTGCTTAGTCTACTTTGTGTTTTTAAGAAAAAAATCACATTGTTGATAAGAAACCTTTAGTCTATTACACTGAATAACCTTTCTATTTTTCTCTTTACTCTTYGATTTACCCTTTTCAAATTGCAAGTACTCAATTCCAAAAATGGTCTGCTAGAGATCAAAACAACCCACTTATACTATTTTGTCATACCTAAAGAGCTCTACATTTTCAGATCTATGTTGGCTCAATAAATTTTTCTACATCTGCAGCAAGGAAGTCTGGTTTTGAATGAAGGTCTGCTGAAAGTTCAGCTGCATACTTAACAGTGTTGTTCTCTCCTTTACTGGGATGGGTGAATGATTTGAGAGTAAAATTGGATTTCAATAGCATTATGGCCTTGACCTCGAAGGAGGATCAAGATCTAAGAATAATGCATCAGAATTACTCATCTCGATCACAATTTTTTTCTGTGTTCCTCTGCTCTACCTCTACACAGGATAGAGCTTTCACTACTGAGGAGTTTTAAATGCTGTGTGAATTGAAATGRTTTATCTATTTACCCAGGAGATCTCTTGCCCCATTGTATTTTTCTTCTCTTGAGATCCTCTTTTTATTTTTTCTRATTGTGACCATCCATGGAACTGCTAGATGGAAAAGGGAACATAGACTAAATGCTGCACCACACTGCCTGTAAGTCCCCAGCATTCCTCATGTGACTCCCTTGTTTTTCTTCAGGTGAAGATTTAATACTTAGGGAAGTAACTAAGTAAGAAAGAATGTTGCCACTCCATACCTTTTGGTTATATTCCCTGTTCTTCTAAAACTTATGTCTTTAATGCAGGTTTATTAAGCAGTATAGGCTCATGAAGGAGTAAAGCACAAAAGTCTCCAGAATAAAGAAAATGTGACACTGTGAGAGAAGAAATACTTTTGCTATTTTTAACATATACTACTCATATATTTTCTGAGCAGGGATTTCTGCCTCCAAATTCAGTTTAAAAGTATCCAACAGATAGTGTGAATGGGGCTATAATGTGCCCCAAGGGAAAGTGCTGTTCCTCTTTGAAGGGCRTTGCTCTAAAATTGCCGAGGTTGGGTGCTGCCTTTTAGAATTGGCTGAATCCTTCTGGCATAACTTGTTCTCAAGATTTAAGAGTCAAATACTTGTCATATGGAGTCGAAGTGTATTTTATTAATAACCCCACCATTTAAATTCCAAGATTAGGGTTTTTTAAGTGTCCTCTTCCCAAAAGAGGAAGCTGTGTTTCTTCTWTAGGATGAAGACATTCTCTTCTTTTTTAAGATATCTGGGCTAAACTTGCTTCTAAAACTGCAAATGTGCCAGCATTGTTGTCTTAGAATAGATGGATTAATGAAAATAAGGTTATGTGGAAGATTATTRAATTCATTGTTATTATAATGTTGGAAAGGGAAATCTTGCTTCTTGAGGCTTTTTTTATTTGCCCCAAAGGTTTTGCACTTGCTGATGATCCTTTCACAAGGAAATTTCCTGGGAAATTAGACAGCTTCAGTATTGATGTAAAATCCGTGATGCTACCATTGGACCTCAGAACTGTCAAAGTTTTTTTTTGTGATGCTGATTAATGCCATAAAATCTCATAATCTCACAAAATCTCAAGAATGACTTGAATTAAACTCATAATAAATAATACTATAAAAAAACACAAACCAAACAAATTCACAAAATCAATTATAACCAAAAATCACTAACACATTCACAGTTTCATCCTATAGATCAGTGGATATAATTACCTTTACAATGCCTAACTGGCTAAAAATCCTTTCAGCTAACATAAAAATGAAAATACTTTAATATTTTACCAAAAGCAGCTGGAATTTTTAGTCACTCTTAGTTGTAATATAAGTAGGTCAGATACTCTAGTGGTGGAAACTGTGTACATACACTTAGATGGACATCTCTTGACAGCATTTTCAGTTTTAAAATTCCAAGTACTAATTAGTACTAATTTGGTGCTCTAAAATCTGTCAGAATACAGATTTTATTTTTGTCCTTGGTGTCTTGTAAAACAAAGTACAAACATGTTTTTAAGGAAACAAAAAGTTAATGCCAGATGTCATTCCAATGTTTTTATTTTTCTTTTGGCAGAAAGTGGTTAAGAGTTTAATCAATGACATAATTCTTTCTCTTACGAATATTAGCATTCAAACTCACCAAAAAAAAAAAAAAAAAAAAGCCAAAAGTGGAAAAATTGCAATATTGCTGAGTGTTTTATATTTTAGTTAATGTTCCAGTAGCAGGATCTAATAGCTAGGGTGTTAGTAACCATGCCATCCTGTGCTGTGATTCTCCACCATTTTTACAAATGCAGGGTATGACTCATTACTTAATCAAGGATGACATTATTATTTATTTGAACATAATAGGCTAGGCGTTCCTCACATATGTATGCCTGCACTGAATCCTGTGCCAATAAATTTGGAAACTCTTCAGACAGCTTACAAATTTTCCCTGCCTAGAACTCAATGTAGTTTTCAGACCTCTCAATTTTTCTACAGGTTACAATAGTTACTAGCTGACATTTATTGACTCTAAACTGGTGTAAACCAAGAGCTTAAGTGTGGGCTTCAGTCTGTGGAAGAAAGCAGCTTGATAGAAAGAAGTAAGAAAATAGAAAAGCTTTTGGACTACTTCCTCTTGCTCTGCAAGAATAGTTCTTAGGTCAGCTATTGACAGACCTTTATACCTACCTACCTACCTACCTACCTACCTACCTACCTACCTACCTACCTACCTACCTACCTACCTACCTA